TTTGCGGTGTACCCTAAAACAGTACTTAGATGGAAACTTAACTCTGACAGAGGACCTGAAATCAGTCATCCAATCACCAGTCAAATCAAAAGTACATTAAAAAAATCAGAAAGTAATGGAATTTAAGAGAAAGTCAATGAAATTTAAAAAGAAATGAAGGGGAGGAAAGAAACAAACAACCTCATGTTTTCTAAAGTATAACTGGTCAGTTAATAATTGGGCCACACAGCCTGGCTAACTGGTCATTTAACAATTTGTCACACAGCCTAACTAACCCTGATGAACAGGGAAGATGCACAGATTGTTAATATCACAAATGAAAGAAAATCATTACTAGAAAATTTACAGCTATTAAAGTAACAATAAAATTATCATGAGTCAGGAGTACATATGTCTATGGCTACTGTCCTTGAGGCTGAGGCAAGAGTCAAGAGTTTGGATTCAGCCTGAGCTACATGTCTCAAAATAAAATAAAATAAAATAAAATAAACATAAACATAAACAAAATGCAATATTATAAACAATCCTACACTCACAAATTAGGTAGACTAGGTGAAATGGAACAATTCCTTGAGCGAAACAATCAGCTGAAACTCCCATAAAGCAGATAATTTAAACAGACCTACATATGTGAATTAACTACAGATCCAAAGAGAAATCACTAGACCCAGATGAGTTCACTAGTAAATTTTATCAAATATTTAATGAACAAACTATTCGGATTCTCTGTACTCATCTAGAAAACACATGCAGAAGGAATGCTTCCCAGCTTAGGCAATGAGGCCAGCATTATGCTAATACTAAAACCAGACAAGCACATCACAGGATATGAAAACTGTAGACAAGGATCTCTCATGAATATAAATGTGAAGATTCTGAGGAAAGTATCAGGAACCAAGCCCAAGAATGTATATAAAGAATTATACAATATGACCAAGTGGGAATATCATAGGTATGCAAGGTTGGGTCATCATTGGAAAATGAAATAACTGCAATCCATCACATCAATATGCTAAAGAAGAAAAGTTACAAACATTTCAACAGATGTGGAAAAATCACTTGACAAAACCCAATAGTCCCACTCATGATAAAGTAGAGTCAAAGGGAAGGTTCTTCTCTTGCTAAAGGCCATTTAAAGATACTGACAGTGCCCACGTTCCACTGGATGGCCTCAAAGCCAGAAGTATAAGAACAGCACTAATTGGAGCCAATGGATTAATTTCAAAAAGAAAAAGGAAGACATAATTACAGCAGGGAGAGGTGAAGTGACTATGGGTGAAGTTTGGGGGAGGAGTTAGTGGGGATTAAATATGACAAAAATATAATGTTAAAGAAATACTACAAATATATTTTTAAATGATACAGTTAATCTCACACTGAAAGAGTGAGAAACTATATGTTTTCCTTTTACAATAAAGATGGGAAGAAGTTAACCCCCCCCCCCATTCAACACTACACTGGAAAGTCTAGCTAATCAAAAGCAAACCGAGAAATACACAGGTGGGGTGGAAGAAATAAACTCTTCGTTCACAAATGACAACTGTCCCCCTTGTCAATACTGAAGGATGACCCTCTTCCCTTAAGAGGGGAAAGAACAACTTCTGAAATAAGGCATCACACAGGGTGAAGACATAAAAAGCGACAAATAAGATTATTGCTCTCACACACCATCATTTATGTCAGCAGGGCAGAGGTGGAGAAAGGAGGGGGAGCGAGAGAAGACATTTACAGGAACAGCATGAGGGAAAGCACAGCATCCAGATGGAAGAGCCCATGGATAACAAGATTCAGCACTGTCAAGACACTAGTTTGTACCAAGTTGATCTAGAAATTCAAGTGAAATTCCAAGTGAAATTCTAGACCAGTGGTTCTCAACCTGTGGGTTATGACCCCTCCAGGGGTCATGTGACCCTTTCACAGGGGTTCCCTAAGACCATCAGAAAACACCGATATTTACATTATGATTCATAACAGTAGCAAAATTACAGTTATGGAGTAGCAACGAAAATAATTTTATGGTTTGGGTGGGTGGGCATCACCACACCATGAGGAGCTGCATTAAAGGGTCACAGCATTGGGAAGGCTGAGAACCACTACTCTAGGCATTTACTTTATGAATATTGACAAACTGATTCTAAAGTTTAAATGAGACAAAAAGCTTTGGAAAGACTACATAATTTTGGAGAAGAGTTAAATCACAAAACTGACATTTTCTGGCTTGAGGACTTACTGGTGAGCTACGGCGATCAAGACAACATATACTGGAGAGAGAGAATCGACATCAGAGGAATAGAACACAGAGCCCAGAAATGCTTGTCAGTCAACTAAAGTCTGTCAAAGGAACAGATACGGTATAAGGGAGAAAAGTCTTCATACGTGATACCAGGACAACGGGAGCTCTTCATGTAAAACAGAATGGATCTACAATCTTGCCACATCTTGCACAAAAACTAATTCTGAGTTAATAAATGCACTTCAGTGTAAAATGCTAAGCTCCAAACCACACAGGGAGTAATGTAAGAGACATTCTTAACCATCTTGGGGTTGGCAATAAATTTTTGATCCAATATCAAAGGTGATTTATGAAAAAAAAAACTGGTAAGGCAGATTTCATTAAGAGTGAAATTTTCCTCTGTGAAAAATACTATTACTAGAAATCCACATACTAGACAAAAATCATTTGTAAAATATGTATGCATCATGAGGCTTGGAGCCAAAATATAGAAAGACTTATTTGAACAGTAAGAAAACAATCCGATTTAGAAGCAGACAAGAGTACTGATCAGTACACATGAAAACATGTTCCACATGGAAACATATACCACTAGAGAAGAGCAAATGAAAACAAGATACCACAGCAATGATAGTGGCCAAAATCCAAAATATCAACAACATGGAATGTTGACTAGAGTGTGGAGCAACTGGAATGCCATTGGTGAGAAAGCAAGATGGTAGTCATCTTAGAAAGCAGTTTCATGGTTTCTACCAAAACCCACCATAATTTTGCATATAATCTAGAACCATACTTGTAAGTATTTATCCCAAATGAGTGAAAAACTTACATATACACAACCACTTGTACCCCAGATTGTCAAGGTATCAGGAATAAGTAGCTGCAGAGTGTTCAGCTTTAAATGAGACCTATGCATCACATTCCTCTCCTAAAGACTCAGGGGTCACTGCAGAAGAGGGACAGAAAGATTGTGAAAGCCAGAAGTAGTAGATGCCTCCAAGGAAATAGTATTCTCCAGACACAACAGGGCAACTAGACAGAGGAACTCCCAGCGATTGTGACAGTGTGCACAAGACTGAACAGTTTCAATCCAGACAAAAATCCCATCGTGGAGTTGGGGAAAGTGGGCACAAAGCCCTACCCCTAGCTGAGGAACATTAGCATTGGATAGTTACTGGGGGAGGGAGAGTCAGCTTTAAAGATCTGGACCCTGGTGGGTGTACCACTCTCCAGGCAGTCCCCGACCCCAAGAGTATTCAGACAACACAAATTGTATTAGCAGGGCTTAAAGAGATGGAAATGCAGACACAGGTAGAGACGGTAGAGAATGTGAGGTTGGGTGAATGGGGAGATGGAGACGAATCTGAGAAGGGTTTGGGGTAAATATGATAAAAATACATTGAGTTCTCAAAGGATAAAAGTATCATTTAAAAATGCACAGTGTAAAACAAATGGATCTCTATATGTTTCCTTCACACACAAAAAAGCCAAACCAAACAAACAAACAAAACCCCTTGCCAGTTATCTTTCTGTGTTCACTCCAACAAAGAAGTCAATGAGCCAGGTGAAAACAGCAGTCAGGAGGCTGAGAGGAGGACCACAGGCATGTGATGAGAGAAAGGCCTAGTGACGCACACCGGCAGAAGCCACACTGTAGCTTCCCACGGTTACAGGATGCTGACTTTAACTCAGTGGACTATCATTCAGAAGAAAATGAATCACACCCGAAATGATTTTGATAAAAGTATACATTTGTTAAGTTCAATACTTGTCTCTGTCTCAAAAGCCACCAGATCATATTTCACAAATCATTCTAATTCTTTCACATGGCTATGAATTTTTAACCATTAAAGTTTCTTTTTCATTCAGAGTAGCAAGAAAGGCAAGTTAGTGCTCCACACTTAGTGAAGGGATTCTTTGAATTCCTTCTGTAGACAACAGGAACAAACCCTTACTTTGGGAGAATAACAGCTGGGCTCATAATCCATGAAATAAGGGGCTACATTTTTACAAGTTAGGACAATGGAGCGAGAGGTTTGAGAGAAAATACCAGAAATAGGAGATTAATGGAGGAAGGTGAGCACATAATGCTGGGGGTCATTTGTCCCCCAAAGAACAAACCAGTGCAGGGAAAGAAGTGAAAAGACGAAGGACAAAAGAGCCACAGATGGGGAAGCACTTGTTTGCAAGGCCTTGGGCAGAAGTCTGGAAAATGCTGCACCAGACACACTGGGACACAACCCACAGCACGTCCTGGGAGGGAGGACGGGTTGGGCTTCTTGGTCTGCACAATTCCCCTTTGGTATTATTTGAAATTTTTCATTTTTTTAAAACTTTCAACAATGCACTGCTATCATTGGAAAACTATGTAATGATAAAAAATGTTAAATCCTAAATACTATAATTTATTTGGATATTTCATATATGGTATTAAATTAGTCTCATATCTAGTTATCAATAATAATAGTAGTTATTTCTAAGTATATTTCTAAAGGCTATGTGCTATGTATAATATAACATGAAAACTGAGAATATTGACAAATAAATTAATAAAATCTCTCACATTTGAGAAGTTTACATACCTTATATTAAAATTTCCAAACCAATAAACAATAATAAAGGTGGTGCCATGATTGTGCAGTCCAAAGTTGTTACGTGTTTATGAAAATTTGCCAAAAGGGCACAACCCACTGCTTGAGTTTATAACCTCATAAAATTGCAGTTGAGCGTAAGAATTGAGCCAGAACTAAGTAAAACACGTGATTACCTGCTGTGGGGTCTGTGACCGCCTGACTTGTGATGCCAGAAGGTGGTTCTTGGAGTTGGTAAGTGGCGTTGGTTGATGGTGTCGTTGGGCTGGCGTTACTGCTTGTCATATAGTGTGCTGGATACGGGGAGCTGTTATAATACTGGGTATACTGACCCTGGCCAAAGCTGGGGTAAGATGGATAGTCCTACCAAACAAAGCACAAGAGAGTTGTCCATCAAAGCACTGCTGTTCACTTCCTACATTGCAAAGTCAAGTCATAAATGGTTATGTTTCTACGTCTTTCGTGAACTCATATAAGCAAGAGCATATTCTCTCATGAGCCTTCAGAGCTTCCATTTGATGCCACAATACAAACAAAATGAAACCCATCTGAAAACTGTAAGACTCAACATAAATGACTGCTATAGAGATTGTATAAAGAAAAAAATCTTAAAAAGCTTAAGAAAGTTCTCACAGCTTAATATAAACAATCCTTCCTTTATATAAAATCATGTTGTATTTTTAAATGTTTCAGAAGTTGAATTCTCAATTAAATTTACCTGCTGTGAACTGTTAAATCCAGAGGAATTGGTGAGTGAATTATTTCCTGCATATAATCCTGATGATGTGGTAAAACTGCTACCTGGAACAGAGTGGAAAGACAGCCTGTTCAGTGACGTACTCAGTGACGTACTCAGTGATGTAGGAGAACGTCATTTCCATAAGGCAGGGGTGGAATCAGCTCCATCTTCGCACTGTAATCCACCGTCATCAGTAACATTGTATTTGGTCATTTTAGGGATGGAGAAACGGCTGAGTAGTTAAGCGTTTGCTGCTCTTCCTGAGTACCCAGATTCAGTTCCCTGCTTCTATATCAGTAACCCCAGCTTCAGGGGATCCAATGTCTCTGGTCTCTGGAAGCCACATTCTCGCAATCTCTCTCCCTCTCCCCCCTCTGTCACACGCACAAACTCAAAAATTAAATATTAAAAAAATGGTTGACCATTTCAATTGTATTTATATTATAGTAAAGAAGTTTAAATTTCAGAGTGCATAAGTAATTCAGAAAAAAGCAAGATCAAAGGTATGCATTTGTGTGACAATACCAGCCAATGACTTTTCCATTTTAGTCTACAAAACACACTGTTTTTCATGTCTTTTCATGAAATATGCAAAATACAATTGGAGCATTTTCTTCCCTGGAGCCCTTTCCACTCTCATGAGTTCTTTCTTACTTTCCCTTAGCAAATTTTAACAAATATTTGTTCTCCCTCCATAAAATAAAATAAAGTGATCATATTAGCTGAACCTTACGGTTCTTGATAGCTCAGAAACTGTATTGCTACTTCCAAGGACTTACAATGCTCCCTGATGTCCTTATTAATGCGGCTGTCATAATGGGCCTCTGAGCAGGCTCTCATTATTTTATTTCATGGGAGAATAAACAGCAGCACTTGAAACTCTTAATACAAAGATGAGAGAGGAGGATCTCTCTGCCACAGGTGCGGTTGAGAGCAGCGCTGTCTTTGTTGGCCGTCCACATGGTCCGACAATGAACAGCAGGTGCTGTGCGCACACATCACGGAGTCCGTCCCTCCGTCATTCATTTTGCTACCATTGAGCTGTGCCAAACAAAATCACAACTCGGTGGTCTAACTAGGAAGCGTTTCCAAATTTCTAAAAATGATCGCGCTCAGAAATGAACAACTGTGTGTGTGTTTTTAAGATGTGTGATATACACCGCAATACACAGAATTTTACTGCCAAGAATTTACTCTAAGGAAAAATAAGGGGTTTTATTTAGGAAGCTCATTAGCAAAGATGCTCTACAGAGTTGTTTCCCACAACAAAGCAGAGCTGCCCCACCCTTCAGGGGTGCCTCTCTGCAACAGAATGAAGATTGTTAGTGGTGGTGCTGACATGAGATTTTTGTTTTCATGTTCTTTTATAAGAGTACAAAATGGAACAACAAAAATATACTTTTAATTTTATTTAATTTTTAAATACTTTATAAAGCCTAAAATTGTTAAGGAGTACAAAAACTGGGCTGCAGGAGTGACTCAGCAGGTAAAGGGGCTTGCTGCTAAGGCTGATGACCAGAGTTCGGTCCCCAGGACCTGACAGAGGCGATTTGTCTCCTTTCTTCCTCGTGTGTGCTGTGGTTCACACATGCACACATAATAACTGATTTTTTTTTAATTAAGGATTTTCCCTGAAGCATTCAATTACAGTCATGATATATTAAAAAAAATTAAGATGTTTTCTCTGAAGCAGTCAATCACAGTCATGGTATATCTATGAAGCCAATGTACATTTCTAAATTTTGTACTCAGAGGCTGTCTTGTTTCTAGGATAAAAAACAAGCTGGGCGGTGGTGGTGGTGGTGGCGGTGGCGCACATCTTTAATCCCAGCACTCAGGAGGCAGAGGCAGGTGGATCTCTATTGAGTTCGAGGCCAGCCTGGTCTAAAGAGCGAGATCTAGGAAATTCGCAAAGCTACACAGAGAAAGCCTGTCTCGACAAACAAACAAAAAAAAAAAAAGCAATTTTGAGAGGATACATTGTATAGCAAATGAGTGGGCTACACACCAAATGTGTAGGCAGATCACGCAGAGTCTTCAGTGTGAGCTCATTGCTTAAGAGTGGATTCGTGACTAACACACAGTAGTTGCTTCTCCAATTATTTACTTGATACTGAACATTTAAATATTGGCTTAACAATCAGAAAACCCAGCTGTAGGGGGTGTCACTTGGGGACGTGCAGTCATGCCTATATGTGCACAGAGGTCAGAGGACAACCCCAAATGTCATTCCTCAGGCACCTTCCAATTTTGGTTCAAAGCGGGGTCTCTCACTGAACTGCAACTTTGCCAGGTAGGCCAGGCTGGCTGCCAAGCAAGCTGGAGGCTCCTTCTTTCTTAGCTCCAGTCTCAACATCATTGGGATCAGAAGAGCACACCACCATGCTGATGTTTTACATGGGTTCTGGGCATCCAAACTCGGGAGCTCATGCTTGCTAGGCGAGTGCTTTACGGATAGAGCCACCTCCCAGGCCAGATTAGAGTATTTGATGCATAAATTAAGAATTATCTGGACTCTGGACAGCTCACCTACCTACTCTAAAATATAATTCCCTCATCTTCAAATCCTGCTTAAGAAACTTAAACATCATGTGAAGTAGTATTGAAAGTACAATGACCACCCCCTGCCTCATACGCAGAGAAGGTAGGCCTTATTATTGTTTATCCTAGCACACACTTACAAAATTCTCCAATGTTTTTATGCATCCTTTTCCCTTTTTGACTTTTCCAAATGAAAAATACTTCATCACTTTGTATACTGGACATCCTTTTCTTAGTTATTAAGCATCTATGAGCTTTAAAAGCTAGATCCAAGGATTTGTTGTTTATATGAACAGAGGAAAATATTTCCTAAGGTAGCTTCAAATGCACTCATCACACAGACTCATGTTTGTGGTTTCTTCTTTTGTACATTTTAGAATAGATTTTCTTCCTAGTCTCTAGAACACCTCACCTGGCCAAGGAACTCTTTCACACTATTAATACTCCAAACATTGAAGTTTCAATAAACAAGCATCAATGTTAATGTTCATTTGCACAGGATAATCATATACTCATTAAATAGTAAGTACTGGGTTCATACTGATGATTCTATGGGAATAAAAGGATGGTTACAACATACACTGTGACCACACAGGAGGTATCAGGATGATTATATGGCTTTCTATTTTTCTGAGACAGGGTCTCTCTGTACATAGCTCTGGCTAGCTTGGAACTCACTAGGTAGACCAAACTGGCCTCAGGCTCAGAGATCTTCCTGTTTCTGCTTCTCAAGTGCTGGGATTAAAGCTAATTTTGCTTTTTAAACACTGAATCTCATGGGTAGGATTCCTTCTATATTTGTACATCAGAGAACAAGTAATTAATGATGACAGTGATATACAGAGAAAGATAAAAATACTAAACACTTAAAATTTCCTTCTGAAATAAGTCTAAGTTTCTTCTGTATAAAAGTATACTTTTCTCAACTTCAGCTATTATATACAGTCGATAAGAAAAAATACGTTGGGTTATGACCTGTAGTTTTAATTTAAACTGTACATTTTTAGGTTATGACTTGCTACTTTCAGTTAAATGACACATTTTTGGGCAATAAATACTGACCTCCATAATCCCCACTCACCAAGAAAATGAATAAGATCTAGAAAATATATTTTTAAATGGATATTTTCATTCCATAAGTTATTTGCTGGAACAAAGCAGAAAAGACCATGGAAGCTATATTGGCACATACAGGCCACTAGGGTAGGGCCAAGTAAATCACAGTTCACTACTCCAAATGGTACCCAAGTGACTTTCCAGACGTACGCTGTTTCTAAGACTGCACTCACTAGAAGCCAACATCAGTTATACTCATTTGCAGGCAGAGATTCCATTCCACTCAGTGTGCTGAAGCAGGAGTTTAATGGCACCCCAGTGGCCTCAGGGACTTAATGCAACTTCCAAAAGGATCTCACTTGCTTCAGGGAGAGGTGTACCTCCTGGAAGCTGGGGCTCAGACCAGATTCACTTTACTAGAAGCGAGGTCTCAAGGCTGCTCTACCCAGCTCCCCACAGAACGTGGGCAAATAGGGTGGCTTCGAGTCCAGGCTGCTAATACTCGCTGTCAGCCACAGCCTTCTCTGCTAGCTGCCTTCACTGGTCCAGTGCTCTCCTGCTGTCCTGTGGAAGTGGCAAACTCCTCCTCTAAAGAGCATGGCAGATCCCATCACCACCCCCCACTTGAAAAGTAACTGTTAGTGGCTCCCAGTTGCCCCCAGGATAAAGGCAAGCTCCTTGTGGGGCTTATTTATTAGACTTATTCAGCTGTCTGGTCCCTATTTATCTTCTGCACTTGTTTGATCTCTTCCTAGCAGCCCCAGCCCCACGCCCCAGATGCCCTTTCCAGCTTAACTGGTGAGCTACCATGTGGTTCTCCTAATGCTGTTCAGCACCGCTACCCCATTCTGTAGTCACACACTGGCCAGCTTCTATTAGACTTAATTCCACATGGCCTAGAAACCCATGTCCTCAGAAAGTCCCCTGTTTGCATACGCCTCGATCATTCTGTCTTTCATTTATCTACCTACCTTTTCACCTATTAATGAGCCTGTCTTTGAAACATGCATATATGTATATGCATATGATCACATCCATGATTTACTATCAGTATTTTAAGCTAATTTTGTACTAATTCATCTATAAACAAACAAGTACTAATTATACTTGTTAGTCCTTTCACTGTGAAATGGGAGTATATAAAAGGTGATGCACATGTTTGAGTTTATAAAAACACAGGAGTATCTACACCCCACATATAAAACATCCAGATAGTAACATATGTAGAGATATAGTAACATTTTTTAAGAAAAATATGTAACTTCCATTTTTCTGTACCATGTTAGATGCAATCTCATCTTCTCCATGATTTACATGCCACAACCTGATGGTTTTTTTTATTACATTTAGTGTGTGAGTGTGTGTGTGTGTGTGTGTGTGTGTGTGTGTGTGTGTGTGTACGCACACATGTGGACATTAGAGATTGGAGAACAATTTGTGAGAGACTGTTCTCCCCTTCCACTAT